GCAGCCTGACTGTTCTTCTCTGCTCCCCCACCTCTACCCTGCTCAGTCTTGGGAACATAGTAATGCTCAATAAATGTTTGTTAAATTGAATAACTGAATAATAACGAGTCATCTAATACCAGCAGAATGAATAAAATAAAACTCAAATAAATAAATAATGGCTTTGAGAGATGCTGATTCTCTTCCTTGATACGTTCCTAAAGGGCCCGTTTCCTGCCTAGGTAACGGGGTCTGTTTTCAGCAGCAGGAGCGCTAAGTGGGTGACGCTCTGGGGCAGACTGAAGGCTCCGGGCGGCAGAGTCCTAAGCAAGACCAAACCCCTCTCCCCTGACGCCCACAGAGCCCCGCATGCTGTCTCCGCCCCGCTAGGGGCTGTCCCAGCTCTTCCCTGGAGTGACCTCAGTAGGATTCGGCCCCACCACATCTGGTGTTTCGATGTCTTCAGAGACTCATTGTCTATATTCTGTAGTGAACGGAGGTGGCTTTCTGAAGGCAAGATGGAGTGGGAAAATAGGGTAAAACACCCAGATTCAACCTGTCTCAATGAAAAAGACCTTTGTCATAAACAATGGATATTTCAGCAGCACCAAGACCAGAGGTGAGTGCTGTCTTGTCTGTGTGTGTGTGTGTGTGTGTGTGTGTGTGTGTGTGTGTGTGTGTGTGTGAACTTAGGGGATACCTTCTCGGCACGTCCAGACAAGTGGGTGGGATGCGAGATGAAGTGTGGGGCTGACAACTGACTTACAACAAATCAAAATATTTGACTTTTGTTCCTAAGGTCTTCTGTTGGCTGAACCAAAAGTAATCCCAGATACTAGAGAAGATATCATTTGTGATTCTAAAAATCTTTCCTTCAGAGGATTTCTCATTATGTATTCCTTCTAACCTTATTTTTAAGCTCAATTTTTAACTTTAAAAAAAATCAGTAGAAAAACTGATCATGGAGAAACTGATTGGGGGGTAACAGGAGGTGTCAGAAGAGGGTGACCCCAGTGGGCATGGAGGGCGCAAACCCTGGACAGCGCAGGGCAGTGCTGCTCCACTGTGCTGCAGCGCACAGCATTCTCAGGGCCCTGCTAAGAAGGGCATGGGGTGGACAGAGGACAACAGCATTTGATGAAGAACTGCTCAGGCTTCTAGACTCCCAAAGAGCTAGAACCGTGTGTTCTAGCACACTCAATTGCTCCCCTTCCCTGCAATTCTCACATGCAACCTTCTCCAGGTGTCCTAAACCCCAGGCCGGTGGCCAGGTCATCCTGTTTCCCATCAGCATGGGGCTCTTTCAAGTGCTGGGCACAGTCAGCACTCAAAAGGTATTTAACTGATTGGTGGCAAAGCTACCCAGTTGTGATCCGGTTACAGTGTGGAAGCGGCATTGCATAGCGCTTCAAGCCGACCCGAATTCTCAGAGCAGTCTGAATCTTACAGATAGAGTCCTGTCAATCAGCTTGGTCGGACAGCCGCCTGTGTCTTTACGAGGGCACATGCCCAGACCACATGGGACAGGCAGTCCGGAATATATGCAGAAGGTGAGGATGTTTAGTTTAAAAAAAAAAAAAGGCCAAACACCCGAAAGTAGAAATGGAAACCAACAGTCACGTGACACAGCACTGGGTTCTTCCCTCTCCTGGCGCCTCACTTCGCCTGCGGAAGGCCAGCGCTGCTCATCTGACCACACCCTTCGCCGACCCACCTATGTTTTAAGAGGCTTGAAGATTTGGGGAGTAATCGGTGAGGCTTTGGCTTAAGAAGTAATTCCCCAAGGAAACCACAACCCAAGCCTGAGTTTTGGTTTAGTCTCCAAATGCGCAGCACCCCCTCCTACCCTGTTACCTGCAGACCCCTCCAGCAGGGCACTGGGTACAAGGAATGTTTTAATTGGCCTCAACTCAATGTGTGGCCAATGGCTTTCCTAGCTGAGGCAATGTTCAAGTACTATTTGACCAAGTCTGATTTTATTTTTAGTCCAGTAACTCTTCGAGAACATGATAGTATAATGCAACAACAGATGTCGGAGAAAAAGAGCAATAGACCCTATGTCACCTACAGCAGGAGGCAGGAGTCTGCCATTTGCTACTGGTGACCTCCTTGTTCCCTCCTATCTCAGGCCATACTATGTGATTGGTCAATTGCTTCTTTGATGTTTTAATGACTCAGGAGCATCAATTGGCTGTTGGTGGTTTAGAGTAGGCCCCACTCCTGGGTCTCCATTCACTGCTATACCCTGAAGGTCTTAGTTGCTCTTTCCCAAGCCCCCTGACATGCCCTGTAGGTTTGAAGGGAAATTCATTATTCTGCATGCAAGACACTACTTTCCCATTCTCTAAAGAAACTGCCTCTCCAGGTGAGTTCAGATCCAGTGGCATCATAGCAGCACCATGTGGGTTCAGAAGGCTAGACCTCAAGGGTTTTCATACTCCAGCTTGGAAATCAGAACCCCTAGAGAGCTTTCTCAAAATGCAGGTACCAGGGTCCTTACTTTGGAGCTTCTAATTCAATGGCTTGGAGGAAGGTCTGGCTATTTTATATTTAGAACGCTCTATGTTTGATGCTAAAACACGTTGAGGTTTGAGAGTCTGTGGGTTGTTGATGCAGGCCTAGAGGATAAGGAAGGGGAAAACTGGAAGGAAAGAAAGGAAGAGGTGGAGGGAGAAAGGAAAGAATGGCCACAGAAAGGCCAAAGCAATTAGAGAAACTGTCCAAAAGCAGGAGCACTGGGCTAGGGCGTGCTGCTATCACGAGTACCCAAGTAGAAGGCATCTTGTTTAAGATGTGCACATGTGCACGTGTGTGCATACATACACACGTGCATACACACACACGTGCACATACATGACATAGCCATGCTGGAGAGGCGCTGGGAAAATCAGAGAGAGGCACATCCCACGAGCCTGGGATTATTCCTTCACCTCTGACACTTCTTCCATTCCCAGCCCGAGCGCTGCCAGGCCCCCAGGGAAGAGCACAGCACAGCTGCTGCAAATTGGCGGTTGCAGTTGTGTGCGTCTCTCGTCCCCACTCTGGCTGTCACCCTGGCAGGGTTTCTTTGGGCCACATCTGGCTGGTGGGGTATCAATGACTCGTGGTGGGGAGGGGGGAGTGATGAAGGAAGATCACAAAAACACAGCACAGTCATCAGCAAAGGAAATTATACCTAGCCCCCCCCCCCCGCCCCCACCCACCTGCTGCCACCTACCCTCAATTCGGTGCCATGAACGGCGCTGCCACAGCAGCGTAAGGCACGGGTCTGAAGCGCAGGGGACAAGGCCCCAAAGCACAGTCCCATGCAACCACGGCCCATGGGCAGAAACTGCCTGTTGGCACAAGGATGCTTCTGTCCTTGGCTGGTCAGAGGGACCCACCCAAGGAAGAAGGACCAGTTAGGGCCACTTGGGAACTTGATTTGCTTTGTTAAGTAAAATAAATTTGCCTAAGTGTAATAAGTTCAATTCCTTCTCTCTGCCTTACAAAGTTTTCAAAACTAAGTTCTTATTGAGAACTTAGCCTGAGAAATGCTTTCCAGCGTTTCATTTTAGTTTGAGGCAGAGGGGACTGGACTGTTGTCTTCTTTCCGAAAGTATCACGACTCAGCACCTTTGCTGTGGTATGGGCCCAGCTATGCCACCATCATCCAGTTTAGAGTTTAGTCAGCTTTCCAGACTGGTTCTCGTTTAGGACTTAATCGTCAGAGCCCAGGAGCAGCCCTGCCGTGCAAGGACACTCAAAAAATGTTTGCTGCGTACAAGGTATCCAGGCAAGTTTCAAGTAGTCATTTACAGAGAGGTACAAATTTCATAGCTACACTGGGTCTTGGCATAAAAAACTGAGAAAAGAGGGTTTTCGAATCAACAGGACATGGTGCCTATAAAAAAACAATTAGAAGACAGAATACTGTGCACCACATCTCTGAACTGCTACAAAACTCTTCCTTCTGATTCAGGAAGTCAACAGGTCTCTTGGCATTGTCTCCTGTCTCGCTGGCAGCTCTGCTCCGCGGGAAGGCACCGCGGCCCTCTCACTCTTCCCTGCTTTCCCTGGAGACCTGTTCCCAAGCAGGCTCTAGATTGTTTTCATGATGGCCAAATAAATTTGACTATTTGCAAAACTCCGGGAAAGATGGTATTTTTAAGACTAGCAACATGCTTTATTCACCCAAATTCTGGAGAACAACACTGGATTCTGGTAAGTCATGTCCCAAGCTGAAGTAGGAGATACTACAAAAAATATATTTTCTGGAGTTTGTCCTAATAATGGACTTGACTCTGCCAGAATGAAGACAGCTCAGATATGGTGTGTACAATTGCAGTGGGATAGGCTGCATGAAAATCTGGCTTTTCAGTGGCTCCAAGGCAGTGTAGCCCGCTGGATAAGGGGGTGTCTTTAAAGTAAAAGAAGATTCACTGCTGACTGGTCAGTGCTCAAGAAGCGGTATTTCCAGACAGGTATCCCCTAGCTGGCGGAGTGTTCTCATAGCAGTGAAAATGATGCCAATGCATTTGTTTGATGGATAATTCTAATATGTTAAGGTAAGATTAATATGAAAAATAAAAACATAATCGCATACCACAATGCTACACTACGCTATTCAATGAAAGTGGTTTTCTTCAATAGTTTCTTTTTAGACCAAGCCTGACTCTTCAGCCCAAAGAATTCATAATTCCACCTTCTGGCCTCCTTGGAAAGAGAGGAGAACAGGGGCTGTACGGCGGGAGGGTGGCTGAGCAGCCCACGTGCGGGCCTGGCCAGCTCTCTCAGGGCACCGGGCACACGCGGTGCCTCGCACTCGCGTGGGAGACACTGAGGGCCGACGTCTGATCAGGGAGAGAGGACTCGGTAGGGGAAGAGCTCATGCTTTGTTTCTCAGGCAAGACCTGGGAGAAATCAAAGACACTCCTCAACCACTCCATGAAGAAGGGTGTGTGACCCCAAAGCCAGGGGGCGGGCGGAGGGGTGCTGAGGGACGGCTTGCAGCCCGGCCTCGCCTGCCGCCCGCTACGTACCCAGTACAGCACGTCCGTCCAGCCCTCCATGGTGATGCACTGGAACACCGTCAGCATGGCGAAGGCAAAGTTGTCGAAGTTGGTGATGCCATGCTTGGGCCCGTCCCAGCCGGGTCTGCACACCGTGCCGTTCTGGCACTGCCGCCCATGGCCGGTCTCCAATGCACAAGGGGAAGGGTCGTCTTCTGCTGGGACATCTCGAATAGCCACAGGGAAAGAGCAGACAGAAGCAGACAGGAGCGAGGGAGGCGGGCAGAGAAAGGAGAAAAGGAGTTAGAGGGAAAGTGATGGGATCAGTGGATGGGACGGACACCGCCGCCATGGCAACGGCAATGCAGAGCGCACGCGACTCAGTCCCATGGGAGTCAGACGTCAGAAACTAGGCACCTGTGTCAGGCTGCCAGCCATTCAAAAGATCAGTTCTTTCAACAAATTGTTATAAAAGCTGCCTTTTACCCTCAGTGATTGATTTCAAAGACGGCAGGGCCAGTGCCCATCCTGACTATGGTGTCAGCATCATAGACAAATGGCAAACCAAAAAACAATGATGGTGCCACCATTTCGAGTGGAAATTGTCCTGGAAAATGGCAGGAAGTCTACCTTCTCTCTCTATAGACACTTCCACCGGAATACAGAGGGAGGGCTACATCGATCGGGTCTAGCAGCGCTTTCTGACTACGTAGGGCCCGCTCCCTGTTGCAGGACGCAGTGCCAGGGACCCGAGTCCCTCACAGTGAAGCCTCACACAGCTGGAGGACAGGATGCGCGGTGGCTGCAGGGAGCAGCGCGGCCCCGCGTGTGAGCGCAGGTGCCGCGGCCTGTGTCCCCTGCTCCCGTGTGGGGCCTGCGGCTCCGCCCGTCGCTCCCAGCAGTGACACCTTCCAGAGCAGAGTCGCCTTCTGGCCTCTGGACCAGACGCGGCGGGGGTGACGGGCCACGCCTGCTGGGCACAGACAGGGCTTCCAGGAAACGCCAGCACACTGCGTGGAGGCACACTGCGTGGCGGCGCTGGGCTCGCTCTCCATGCTGGGAAATGCCGCCAGCAAATCGCTGGAGTAAGGTGTGGCCTACGGTCCCCGCAGGGGGATCGCTGATAAGCCTAGATGAGACCTGACAGGTCTGATCATTTTCACTACGCTCAGCCCCGGCCGTGGAAGGTGATGTGTGGAACTCACAGGAGTTGTGAAATTAAGGACACTGCCGTGTCCTCACGGAAAGTAATGACAGCACCAAACAGAAGAAAGCGCCACTCTAACAAGGACAGCCTCCGGCAGCAGGGAAACTTCCGGAGAGGGCCTGCGTCTGTGCCTCCCTGGCAGGCAGCAGGTCCACGGCGGTCGCTTCTGTTTCCTCAGTGTCAACACGGGCACAGCTGTGACTGTCCTGCTGGAGGGCGCAGGCCGTGTGCTGGGGACTGTCAGCTGGTTGGCTGTTTCTCGGTTTGTGGCTTTAAATTTGAAACTGTTGGCTCCAAATAGGAAGACAGGAGGAGGAACATTAATCCTTAACTAAGAGATAATTCTTAGAAGAATGGAGCTGAATGCTATGGTTGAAAATATGTGCCTGGTTGTGTTTTCCCAGTGACAGTGACAGTGGCTCCCCTCCCCTTCCTCCACCTCTTCTTCTTCTTCATTGTCATCATCATCTTCTTGGTCATCTTTGTGGCCTCCTCCTCCTCTTCTCTCTCAGCTTTATTGAAATATAATTTACATGCCTTGGAATTAATCAATGTAAATGTACAGCTCAATTATTTTTAGTAAATTTGCATAGTTGTGCAGCCATCAGCACAATCCATTTTAAAGCACTTCCATCGCCCCCTAAAATTCCTATGTGCCCATTCACAGCCGGTCCTTGCTCCCACCCCCAGCCCCAGCAGCCTGGCCCACTCTGTCTCCATCACTTTGCCTTTTCTGGAACTTCCACATAAACGCAAGCACACACTGTGAGCTTTTCCCCTGGCACGGAGTCTCCGGGCGCCGTCCGTGCCACTGCAGGTCTCCGCAGAGCCCGCGGCTCTTCACTGCTGAGCAGAGTGCTGCTCCGTATGTCTGCCCATTTGCCAGCTGACGGGCATCTGGGCTGACTCCAGGTTTGGGCTGTTATGGATCACGCTGCTCCCTGGCTTATTCTTGGCCTGGTGCTTAGCGTCGCGTGGAGGTCCTTTGTTCACTGACCAGGTGCAAAGGCCTGCGTTCCTGGTCCCTGCACTGCTGGAGGAATGAGAGTGTCCATGCCTCTTCCTTATTCTGGGGTCTGGCTCCCAGGAGGGCTCCCTCAATGCAGCTCATCTAAGCCACCCTCTAGTCACAATTTTTTTGTGACTTTTGAAATTGTGAATTCTTTAGAAATTTGGATGTGAAGACAGAAACTAAAAAGTGACTCCCAAACCTAGATATTATAATACATGAAAAAGTGGGTGATGAGCACCTAAAAGCTGAGTGCTGAGAGACTGGAAAACCAATAACCAAATGGACCATAAATTCTGTTCAGTTCTCCCCCATCTTCGCACTAGCTTCCCAGAGGGAGGTGTGCGGTCACTGTGACAGGAGTGCTGGCATGATCAGAGGGACTGGGCAAAGGGAGAAGGTAGCAAGAATAAAGAAGCTTGCTTTTCCTTTCTTATGTTTTGCTTTTTAGCAGAATAAGGACGTGGCTGACCTTCGCGTTGGGCCTGCACATCCGACAGCCCTCCCCGCACTCTGATGCCTGAGGCGCGCAGGGACCCAAGAGGGGAGGCTGCCCGGGTGAGTTCTGCGCCTCCTCCAGGAAAGAAAACATATTTGGAGGTTTTACAAATTAACATTTAAAAGAAATGGCATCAAGGGGAAGTGGTCTCAGTAATAAGAAGGAAAGGGGCAGATTCAGAAAGATTATCTAAAAGCTCAAGTGCTGCTCTGCTATTTTAAATCTGTCTTGAACAACAATAAAAAAGATTTGAGAACAATTAAGAAGCAGCGATAATCTGGTAAAAATAGGTATCCTATAAAAAGCGCTACAGGGAACACTTGAAATATGTGAACACACACAGACCAGCAGGTCCTAGCGACACGCGCTCTCGGGTGAGGGGAGCAGCTTTCCGGCAAAAATGGGCTGGTCTCCTGCAGTCACGACATCCCGGGAGGGGCGCAGGGCACGAGGGGAGAGAGACACAGTAGTGCAGGCTCCACGTTTTAAAGCAGAAATGAAGAGAGGAAGAGTCATTCTGGAGAGTCCAATTAAGTTCTCAGTAAAATAATGGAGGCAAAAATTAGGAGGGAATTTAGAGATGCAGTGAACACCAACAAAAACATGAAATCCTGGGAAAGCTCTGGTTAGTGGTTCCAGGGAAGAATTACCAAAGACAAAACCAATTACTTTTTCAGGATCCAACTTTAAGGAGTGAATAGAATGAAGATGATTTCGTTTCCAGGTTTTAGCCAACCAATTCTTTGCCAGTCTCAGGGCTCATTACCGTGCTTGGGAGAGCTGTTCAGATGACCTGGCTCCACACGGCATCAAACAGATGGGACAACCAGAAACAAAAGGTATTGGCATATGGTGATGTATCTGTTGAGGAATCAAGAAGGCACCTGGCAGATGTCTCAGGGATTAGGGAAAAACTGCCTCTTTTGAGACCATCTTCACCAGGAACTGGCCACTGGAAGGGCAGCCTAACGGTCCACCTGGCCAGCTCCACCACTACTTTCTCGTACGACTTTATAGGAAACATGGCTCAAAATCCAGTGTGTTCTAAAATCTAAAAATACAGAAAATTCACAGTCTGTGAAATAATATCAAAGTATAAAAAGAAGAATTTGATGTAAATCTCATTAAAAATGTTTAACAACAGCTCACAAGGCACTTTTGTATAATTAAAATTTGCAGGCAATATGGTAATTTAATCCAAAGTCTGAAACCTAAAAAAATAGATAACAAATGACCCATTTCAAAGGTGATACAGAACTTTCCAGAACACTTGGGGGCTGGTTTCAGAGACTGCGGGTTTTTGCTCTTCTCCCTTACGGGTGCACGAGTAGGTCGTGTTCCTGCTTGAGCCCTCCTGGGCAGTGGCAGTCACCGCGTAGGTGGACCAGGGCTGAATACAGCAATGTTTGTCCTACGGGCGCCAAGGCGTGGGCCTCTGGATTGTCAAGAGACAGCAGGTTTTGGGGCGAGGGGAGAAGGAGCTCCTGACTGCAGAGCATTTGAGAGGAAGGGCTTGTGCTGCTCGGGGTCCTCGGCCCTCTTCCCGGCAGGGAGTCTGGCTCCCACTGCAGCGAGGCCACCTGCCCTGTGGAGCCTGGCATGCTCTCTCTGGAACCAGCCTCTCGTTGTTCTCCGACACCCTGGCTCCCCCGCTCCTGGTCTTTCCCACAATGAGAGTCTACTTCTCTTCTGAACATGCAGGGCAGAGATAAAACCCATCGCATAGATAAGTGGATGAGGCTCATGGCAGGAGGCAGGCAACGTCTCAGGTGCTCCTGTTTGCTATCCAGGGGGACGGCAAGCTCCTACATTGGCCACTGTCACTGGGGACCAGAAGAGGCCACAGAAGTTTCAGCACTTGAGGCAGCCCTCCGCTGCCCTGTCGCTGCCGGAGGAGGGCTTCCTCCTGTGTTTTCTTTGTCTCCCACACCCACCACTTCCTGTCCCGGAGACCACTGAGGACTGGCTCACCCATGACTTCCACCCAAGGTCCACAGACCCCCGGAGGAGCCTGCACGACCAGAAAACATCCTTTGGCCTACTTTCCCGTCATGATGATAGAAATCGTATGCAGTTTTTGAAGCAGTTCTCTTTCGCTTCATGGTACAGACATCTGACTGCGCGGCAGGGTTGCTGTCTCTGGCTCCATGGCGGAATGTCACCATTCCCTCTCCTGCGTCTTGTTGGTGAATGCCACACTGTTATTCACTGCTGAGATGACAGGGAATCTTTGAGACCCCCTGCCTCCGTGACTGCCTGAGGAGTTTGGGTCAAATGTGTCATTGATAATTTCAGTGCAATTGCATAAACTTTAGACATGCTACAGTCACTTCTTAAGGAGGTCTTAAAATGAGCTCTTACAAAGCCATATAATTAGTATAAATTTACTGGTTCAGGACTAGCTACAGATCAAACTGAATAAAAGGAAGGATTTGAATTAAGGGAGAAAATATTATTCATTATACTGTTTGATTTTTTTTCAAAGCAAGGCTGAATAATCTCAGAATTTTAGCTAAAGATAAGACCTATTTTTTCCTCCAATTTTAAAGAGACTCAACTTTTAAAAACATATAACTCAAGCGATTCAGAAATTCTCTCTAGAGTGAAATAATGGTCTCTTCTTAAACAGACCCTCCATCAAAGAAATAAAAACAATTGTGTGACTCTGTGACTTTGGGTTTATAGGTTTTGTGTGTATATGTAGTTTTTCATTTTTATTTTTGTAGGACTGTGGCCATGTGGCAATGACCTAGAAACCTTGCAAATATCTGGTCAATCCATCCAATCAAACTGGTTCATTTATGCCAAGTAGTCTATTTTGGTTTCTGAATGTGAATTTCACTCCTCCTTATATACATGCTACCATCCCTCCTCACCCCCCAAAGCGAGAGGGGTCACACGTAACTTGTTGCCTGGGCTGAACGGACACAAGATGCAGTATAGATAGGGAGGAATGAGGTGTCCTTCAAACGCTCCAGACAGATGCTCCCCTTTCTCCACCAAGATGCCAAAACTAAGATGATGGATCTTACTGTTTGAAAAAAAATCATCTAAATTTCACATTGCTAACCCCTTTGGGGCGGGTAGGGGTTATTTTTTTCAGCAAGTTCTTTGTGTTAAAATGCTTTATGTGTCTGTTCAAAGGCCTTGTCAATTTCTGTTTAAATGTTTTTTAAAAGGTCAAGCTGAGATGTTGGCAACTTAGGACAGCAGTCTGTAGCATACCCTGCAAACCAAAACTACAGTTCTATTCAGGGAGATGCTTAATGAGCCACACTGCTTGTTAAATATATTGATTTATGGAAGAAACACAAACAGAGAAGTCTCAAAAAGGAAAGGACTGAGATGTCACCGGGTAGAGCTAACCCTTTTTGAGGAAAAGCAGTTTGGCTTCCAGCAAGGGGGTGATTCCAGCCTGTCCTCTTTTGCCACCCGGGAAAGGGGCGCCAGCCCTCTGCCTGTGAGTGGAGACACAAGGACTGAACTGCAGAGGAGTTGGCACGAGCCCCAAGACGGTGAAAAGACCTTCAGGGCTATGAGCCTGCTGGCTCAGGGCAAGTGGCCTTCCTGAAGGGGCTTTTGATGACAAGCTAACAGAAGTGCTGGCGGAGCAGCACTGATTCTTACGCTCTGATTCTTATGTTAAGGTACTCATGATTGGCTTAAAAAGTGATAAACTGACAAAACACAGGTTCTTAATTTTTAAAAGTTTTCTCAAATTGTGTAGTATGTTGAAACAGTGTTTAGTAGTGTCCAACAAAGTTTACATTTGGCTGGTATTTTTGTTTTTAGAGATAGGGTCTCGCTCTGTCACCCAGGCTGGAGTGCAGTGGTGTGATCATAGCTTACTACAACCTCAAACTCCTGGGCTCAAGCCATCCTCCTGCCTCAGCCTCCCAAGCAGCTAGGACTACAGATGTGAGCCACCATGCCCGGCTAACTTTTATTTTTAATTTTTATTTTTTTGTAGACACAGGGTCTCACTATATTGCCCAGGCTGGTCTTGAACTACTGGTCTCAGGTGATCCACCTGCCTCACCCCCCAAGTGCTGGGACTACAGGTGTGAGCCATCATGCCCAGCCACATCTGGTTGGTTTAACAGAGATGAAAACTAAAATTAGAACTGAGAGAAAAAGAATACCGATCTCTGCCTCTCACTTCACCACGGCATGGAAAGCTGGTGTTGGAATGACGGGGGCTTCCTGGGCCTGCTGGCCATGTGGTGCCAGCACATCCTGCTGCGTGGGGACAGCCAGGAGAGAAGCCACAGCCTCCCGAGCACTTGCCCCGTGCCCTCCCTTACCTGTGATGCCCTCCTGGTTGTAGCAGGTCTTGTGCATCTTGCCCATGAAGAGCTCCAGGCCGATGATGGCGTAGATGATGATGACGAAGAGCACGAGCAGGGCGATGTGCAGCAGGGGGACCATGGCCTTGATGATGGAGTTCAGGACCACCTGCAGACCTGCAAGGACAGAGTCGTGAGCAGGGGCGCCGGCGCCGAGTGCTGGCCTGGACGCGCGCTGACGTGAGCTCTCCCGGGCAACTGTACCAGTGGGCATCACAAGCCCCACTTTTTAGACGGGGAAACAGAGGCTCATGGTCACATAGCCAGTGGGTGGCAGAACAGTGATGCAAACCCCGCGTGGCCTGATCCAAATTTGTCTTGGAGGCAAATCCAAGAGAAGGACTGGCAGCTGCTACACTTGCAAGGGAAGAGCATGCTGTTTCCACCCACAGCCGTCAACAGTCTCGTGCCCGTCTCAGCAGCAGCCGAGCACCTTTCCCTCCAAGAGCAGCGTCTCAGAGCAGCGAGCGCCACGCGGACCAGACACACGTGCAGGGCGTGTCTCCCAGGTCCCCTCACGGTGGCTCTGGAAAAAGTTCTGGTATCGGTGGTGGTGATGGTTGTACAACGATGTGACTATTCTTAGGATCACCGAATTATACACTTAAAAATGGTTAAAATGGTAAATTTTGTTATGTACATATTACCACAAGAAAAAAAAAAGTTTACAAAGTACCCAGATCCCTTCAGAAACAAAACTTCAATGAGAAGCCCCGTGGGGCACACGGCTTGTCAGTGCCCCGGGCCCACAGGCTGCGCGCCGCCTGGTGGAGAAGCCCCTTCTCACGGGCTCCCCGAGCCACAGCACCGCGCCCAGAGCTTGCTCCGTCAACGCGACGCTGCCAATCTTCTTGTGCAAGTGGCGCACAGGTGGTTACCAGCAAGCTGCCCCAGGTTACACCCAGCCCCAGAAAGTCGCTTGTGAGGTTGCCGCCACAGCGCACCCAAGCCCTCCCCTCCCGGGACGGAGGCCGTGGAGAGGGCAGCCCCACCTTTCTTCCCGTGGGGCCGGTTGTGCAGGAAATCGCCTTGAGGGCCACCCTTGACACACGCAGGAAGGACACCCCTTGCAGTCACGTCTTGTGGGTCACTGTCAGTGTCTTTAGGCGACTCGCCTGTCCCCCGTGCTCCCAGCCCGCCACGGCCTTCACCACGCTGCGGATGGGGGGTGTCACCTTTGTGTTCACCTGCCACCTCTCCACCAGTAAACAAAACCGGGTCACCCTCTCCCCAGACCCCGAGGCAGACCAGTGCTCCGTGCTCTGGTGGAGTGGTTTTCACCAGGCTAATTAGAAGAATTCTCCCCAGCTATTAAGGCAAACTGGGGAGAGAAAAAAATAAAATAAAAGAGAAAAGCTGGAATAATTTTACCTGTGAATTAATGAGAGTGCTTTGTAGCCTCCCATTAGAACAAGATGTTTTCGGATCCCAGTGATTCCACTGATTAGCAGGCTGTGCACACATCAGAGTTAAAGTATGTGAAGCCATGAAGAAAGCTGAGCGCCGAACTGCAAAGCGACTTTCAGAGGCGTCTTCGGGGGAGGGCGTTCTAAGTGCTGCCAGAAAGGGGGGGAAGCCCGAAGCCGGGCTGCCGTGACCTCGCAGGATGTCTCGTCAGCCCTCGGTGCCGCAGGCTCAGGTGGCAAGGAGAGCGGGGGTGTGGGAGAGAAGAGACGCCAGTCGGGAGCTCTGCGCTAGGCCGGCTGGGACCTCTGGTGGCTGCTCCTGCTCTTAGGATAGAGACCAGGTCCTTCTTGTGCCCTTTAAGGGCCTGTAGGGTCCACCCCACCGCCGCACCCACGGTCTGCCCCACGAACGCCCTCCAGCAAGCACCTTTCCTTTCAGAGCCTCAGTTACGCCACGCCCTTCCCACCGCAGGGCGCCACACGCGTGTTCCCTCTGACCGGAATGCTTTTCTCAGTTCCCTTGTGTGTCCTCTGCTTGGCCTGAGCCCTGCCCAGAGGCCTTCCCCAGATGCCAGACAGGGAAGTTTCCTGTGCCGTAGTTCTTCTTGGAGCCGTTTCCTTTCCTTTGGAGGAAGCACCTCGGTTTGCAATGTTGTGCAGCTTAAAGTGATTTTAGAACCTTCCTATCCATGTGGCATGCCGGGCTGGGGGCCGTGTCTGCTCTTCTCGCTGTCTCATCACGAAGGCCTGGCTTGGTGCTGAGCATACAGTGGGTGCTCAGTAGACAGTTATCTAAGGAGTGAAAACCTAGGCAAATGCCACTGCTGCCGTGGAGCCCTGTGGGCTGTACCAGAGGCTGCTGTCCCGGCCAGGGTGTGAGGGACAGCTGAGGCTCAGGCCTGCAGGGGACTGAGGCTGCCAGGTGGGCTGTAGTGAGGCCACGTGGGCGTCAAAGCGGCCTGTGCCCTCACTCCAGCAGCTGGCGAGGCCAAGCTGTCACGCGATTCCCGTGTGACAGCTCCGTGCTCGTGTCCCCAGCCCGGTCGGCACCATAGCACCTGCCTAAGCAGCTGGCCCGCAAACTCGCCCCCAAGGCTCCTGCCTCCAGTCAGGTACCAAGTCCTGCCGGTTTGGTTCTGAAGTAATTTTTAGACATGTATAAATTATTCTTACCGTGTGAACAATACATGTGAGTTACAGAGAAAATGGAAAATACTTATTATAGAGAAATTAGAAAACACAGGAAGAAAAAAGAAAGCAATCACTCGTCACCCCACCACTGGCCTAGATTTCTGACACCATGATCCCGGGTCGCTTTCCTTCTCGGTGTTGCCTTGGGTTTGCCATGCGGGTAACTACTTCCAGCTTCCCCGTCTTCAAGACGCGTTCGATGCTCTCGCAAGCACACTCTGGAGGGGCCCGTCTGAGCGGGAAGTCACCAGCGACGTCCTTCCACCTGTGGGCAAACTCACCGGCTCCTTCCCCAGCTTGATCTCACCCGATACCAGTTTCTGCCTTACACTCGCGTGATCTGCCCACGGTCCACAGTTCTCTGGCTCCACGCCACCCCCTGCCGCGCACGCTGCTCTCCCTGCCTTGCTCAGGGCTCCGTGAGTCTCATGGTGTCTGCCCAAAGTCGTGTCTCGGCATGCAGTGGGGGTCCGCACGCACGAGCTGAGTCGCACTCATAAGCACAAGGTGCCTTCAGAAGACAGAAACCCACAGCATCTGGCAGAAGACAGAAACCCACAGCATCCGGCAGAAGACAGACAGAAACCCACTAGAAGCAGCTGCGGACGCTTTGTCCGGAAAGGTGCTAGTGGGGAGGGCAGTGCCAATGGCTTCCGCGTGATTGAAACCGCCATTTTTAGGATGACGGGTTAGATGATTTCTGTCTGACCACAGGGATGCAACTAGGACCAACTAAGAAGCACCTGGGAAAGACTTAGGTTCAGCACAGACAAAAGCTGTCCAAGAAACAGACTCCTCTGAAGGAGAAACAGGCCGTCAATGACAGATCGCGTAAGGGAGCTGCTGAGAATCACAAGCTAGGAAGGGACCCTGGGGTCCAGGGTTGGGGGGGGCTATGTGAGTTTACTGTGGATGGACTCAGGAGGTAGTGGGTTCCCCATCCTCAGGGGTATTCAAGCATCAACTAAAAAGCTCTTGAGGGAGTACTCTGGTGGGGATTCAACCACTGGGTGAAGGATCGTCCTGGAACACCCAAGGTCCCTATAACCTCACCCACATGTTCTGAAGACTCACCACTGGCCCAGCGCAGCTCTCAACACTCTACCTGGATCATTCCACTTCCTCCTGGCAACAGCCTTATGAAGTAGGTGCTGTTATTAACAATACTTCTCAGATGAGAAAATGAGTCCAGAAAGCTGAAACGACCTGCCCATAGTTACGCGGCTAGGAGTGGCGGCATGGCTCAGTGGCAAGGGGTCTGGCTGCAGAGCCTGTGGCCTCCCCGCCGTGTGGAGTGCCTCCTCTGCCCCAGCGATGCGGCTCTCCACCTCCACAGTGTGCATCTGCAAAGCAGCGACACGTCTGTAGCATCTGCCAGGAAGTATGTGAGCCTAGCTTAGCCCTGCCTCCAGGAGAGCCCAGAAATTCCAAGGCTGGCCCCGGAAAGGCTCGTGGACTCTGTCTGCTTTCCTCGAGGCCTGCCTGGGGTGGCGGAGCCAGGCTGGCGTGTGGAGGCACGGGGCCGGAATCCCTCCTCTCCACCCCATCACGCAGTCTGGCTCTCGGGGCCTGGATGTTTAGTAGCTTCACAGCTGTCCCAGAAACAGCTCCTCCAACTCGAGTTCTAATTTAGAAAACACACGGCGTTGTTCCACCCAAGTGCTCTCCTCTGACGGGCCATGCCTGAGGCTGACAGCAATGCTCAGCCTGTTTTTAGGGCTGGCTGCTTGTGGCGGAGGAAGACAATGGGCCCCAGATAAGCCTGGGGAAGCAGCTCCGGCAAGTGCCCTCTGAACAGGGCCGTTACCGGCCCACACACAGGAGGAGCCTACATTCCTAGCCCTCCGTGGGGATGGAAGATCTGACGGACGCACGCGCACTGTGGGGCTGACGGGCGGAATGTGCAGGGTGAGGACCGCACTGGGCAATGTGGACCGTACGGCCCCACACAGGAATCAAAGAACACATCCAGAAATCCAGTCTCGCTAATCCGCAGTTCGTGTCAGATGACTCTGCCTGGTGGACAGAAAGACTCCCAAGATGCCAGGAGGACCGTCCAGGGCAATGGGGCTTTGGGAAGTGGTGTCATTAGTGCTGGGATTAGGAGAAGGACGGTGGGGTTAGCTGGCAGACGTGGCTCTCTCCTTCCCCCGTCACGTTGCTGCTGCGTTCCCTCTGGGGCACGGCGTGAAAATCCCAGGTCAGGAAAGGCTTAGATGACCTGTCTACATAAATCATCCTGTTTTTTCTTAAAAGGTCAAGAAAAACCATCACTCATGGAAAGCAAAACCTGGTGTCTTTCTCTGAGGTGGGTTGGCGTTGGCGTGGAGATGCCGAGGTTGGCTCACGCTGGCGCTTCCGTGGCTGGTCCAGATGGCCACCGTGACGGGCGGAGGGCTGAGGGCAGGTCACACATGCCTTGCTTTATGAGGGAGCTTTGGTGACAGATTGTTCTGCTCAGGGACCCAGGGGCAGTATCAAGAAAGAGTCTGAAAAAGACTTTACGAGCAAGAGCCCAGG